TTAGGTTCGGTCGTTATCTATTCAACCTATTACTTAGCAGGTGGATGGTTGGTGATTCCTAAACCATAGATCGATAGAAAGGAAGAGGTACTTGGGAAACTCCCTCTCCCTATCCTAGCTCTAACATGCAAATGACTAACTTTGTTGGGTTTATCGGATATGGTGCGTGAGCTCTCTAACTTGTGGGCCTTCGTTGTTATCCTAAGCCTCCGAGTACGTCCCCCCAAGACCCATTGCCACCTCAATCAAGGCTCACATATCTTGGGTATTTCAAATTTAGCTCATTTCAATAGGTTAAACCTATCGTGCACACTAAAGAGACAGATCGATACACACTTTTCTTCCTCTAAAGCATCATCTAGGAAGGCATTCTTGTAGCAGGGGTACGATCGCCTCGTCCACTACAATACCCTAAGATCATCCATCTCCCATTAATATGCTAGTTTACGCTACCCAGCCTAACTCTAAAACTCTTACCCAACGTCGGCTCATCATAGGCTAGTAGAGAAGAGTAGGGCGACTTACCCAAGCCAAATTAAGTATAAATGAAGCATAAAATCAATAGAACAAACACATCCATTCATAAATCCTAACGTAAATCATCCATCTACATTATAAACCAAATCTAGGGGTTTGGGGGTTTTAACCCCTAGTACCTTGGGAGATTACCCCATGGGGGGGGGGGGGGAGAAAAGACATACAAAGAGGGGAAGAAATCATGAACAAGGGGTCTTGAAATGATGGAAGTCCTCCTCCACTTCTTCTCCAAGCTTCTAATTCTCTCTCTAAACTCTCTCTAAAATAAATAAAATACTTGCAAAATCCATCTTATTAAGGGGGAGGAGTCCCCTATTTATAGAGTTTCCAGGTCCAAGAAAGTTCACGGGTACGGTCTTGAAGGAGGAGGCAACGATCTTCATCCGGTGTCATTTTGCTCTTCGTCCAAGGGGAGGATTGCGGGTTGACTTCACGGTCACGATAGGTGAGTCATGGTCGTGATCTTTCTCGCAGGTTGGAAATACGAGGGCAACGAGTCGACAAGCTAGATCATCTGCTTCTCCAGTGTTGGCAAACTCTGAAGTTCACCCCCGAGGTGTCAAAGTGCGCTGGCGTGATCTTTGCTCCTTGGGCCGCGATATCAGCTCCTTCTTCATGCCCACTTTTCCTGACCGCGATCATCCTTGTCCAGACCGTAATCTTCATATTTTGCCTCCTTCTTTGCTACACTTGTGTCCTTTTGGTACCTAATTCGCATATATCGCCTAATACACCATAATAGAAAGATATCTTCTTCGAGGAACGAAATAGGGCTACATTTGACGATGAATCAATCATTATGCACATAAAATGACTCAAAAGGAACCTAGATATGAGTAATAAATAACACCAATTTAGGTGTTATCAACAACCTAGGAAGGAACATTGGCATGATGTGAAGAGGATTTTTTGGTACCTAAAGGGTACGTCTGATGTTGGGATTAGCTTCGAAAGTGATACAAAGTGCTTAGTGCCTGGTTTTTAAGATTTAGTTGATGTTGGAGATGTTGACATTAAGAGATAGATGATGGTTATGTATTCACTCTTGGGAGTTCGATGGTGATCTGTAAAGTAACTCTACAGTCGACAGTGACATTGTCTACTGCTCAAGCAGAGCACATGGCGTTGACAGAAACATCCAAGGAGGGAATATGGTTGAAGGGGCTGCTTGGTCATCTGACTCTACATCGTGATAAGACATTGGTGTATTGTGACAGTTTAAGCGCAATATGCTTGGCTAAGGATCAAGTTCACCATGAGAGGACTAAGCATATCACCATGAGGTAAGGGTGGGCATTAGTGAGGTTTGGACCGCACCGCACCGAATCTCAGTTGGACCACACCGCATTTTCGACCACAATGTTATTGGTGTGGTCAAACCAAATCGCATATATTAGCGGTTTGGAGCAGTTTGAACCACATCACATATTTGATCGCAATTTATTATGGATTATACATTTATTAAATTAAATTACTATTGCCGGCAGACCAAGATCATTAGATCTTTGTTTCTCCTGCCACCAAAATAGAGTACCCTTCTGCGGATGACTACCGGCGGAAGGAATCAGAGCTCGTTTTCCCTGCAAACCCTTTGATTTCATCTTGTTGATAGCAATATCTTCGACTTCCCTAATACTTGATATCGAATCACAGATTCATTGCCACATTGCAAGCAAATGAAACAAAAAGTTAGAAAATGATGAAATATAGAGTAGCTAGCTAACATAAAGAGAGAAATCGATGGAGTTGTTTTCAGCACAGCCCGTGTTGTAAACCATCAAGTTCATTCAGTTGTAAGTTTGAAAGAAAGTCCTCAATCGCCATTCCTAGACTAAAGCCAACAATAGTTGGTTCAAAAAGAGACTCAATAGACTAACCACCATCTGCACCCTCTTGACTCCATGAATGGGATTGGGAGTTATCCTTTTTGCTTTACTACCACTGCTACTTGCAAAAAGAAATCTCTCTCCACAAAGCCAAATTAATAAACTTACCTTCACCCCTAACTGCTCTCAACTTATTTATAATAAGGTAATGTACGAATGACATGAGTATTCCTGCCAGCGCAAACAACCTTAGACTAGGCCATTTAACCACTCCAATTATTGATCAGGCGAGATTCAGCAAGCTGATAGACTCTATGACTAGTAGAAAATTATACATGAAGGGGTAAAGGGAGTGTTGGAAACTCATAACCAGATTCAACAACCAAGACTCTCTGGTGGGTGATTTGGTGCTCTCTTCAGAATCGACGCTCAATAGGGGGTCGAGTTCTCTGTCAATGAAGCCAGAGGTGGGGACTCGAGGCAGGTCGAATTAGACCAGAAGTCATAGATGGAGTTGAAGCAGAGGAACGTGTCGGCATCGACGGTGGCGGCGGCGAACAAAACGATGGAGATATAATTGAATATGGGTTGGCAATGTTGTTGTGGCAAAATCAGAGGGCGGGGACTCGAGGCAGGTCAGATTGGACCAAAAGTTGCTGATGGAGCTGGACGAGGAGAGGAGTGCGTCGGCGGTGGCGGCGAACAATGCGATGGGGATATAATGGAAGATTAAGTTTGTAATGGATGATGTTGATGATAGAGCATAACCTTAGAAATTTTCTTTTTTGAACCGCAACCTTGTGGTTTTGGATTAACCAGATTGCAAACCACGAGCCGCAAAAAATTCATACCGTATATTAGATAACAATTTTAGCTGTTCGGTTTGCTTTGACCGCAAATGCGGTTTGGTGAGGTGTGGAGTGGTTTAACTTTACCAATGCCCACCCCTACCGCGATGTATCATTTCTTGAGAATAGAGAAAAGAATTAAGTTGAAGAATATTGGCACCACTGAAAATCCTGCTGACATGTTCATGAAGCCGATTGCACATGGCAAGTTCCAACACTACTTGGACTTGCTGAATGTTCTGAGTTGGTGAATCCACATGACAAGTACTGTAAATACTTCCTATACTCTGTAATTTGTATCTCCTCGAAGTATAGTAAAACTGGCTCTCTCCTTGATACCAAGCCTGCCTTGTCGGCCTGATACCCTCTTCGTGTTTTACTACCAAGCCTGCCTTGCCCGTTTGGTACCTCTTGTCTCCATACTTGATCAAATTTCATATCTTGGTACCAAACGTGCCTTGCTCGCTTGGTACCATGTTGGTTCCATATTTGGCCAAATTTCATGTCTTGGTACCAAGCATGCCTTGTCGACTTGGTAACCTCTTGGCTAGCTACCAAGCCTGCCTTATTTCCAGACTTACTTTTTAAGAGCCATATTTCATACCAATTGGCTTGTTACAAGGAGAGGAGGCGTCGGTTATGTAGGCCATGGGGGCAGTCGGCCATTTAGACACAAACAGGGAGCTTGGCCACTTGGGTCCAAAAGGCAAACCGAATAAGGCACAACTAGCTCATATAATATCTAATATTAAGGTGGTCTTATAAAGTCATTAAGTTTCTTGTAATTAATCAATGTGGTAGAAATTAATGTTTTATGATCAAACAAATGCCCCACAACTTAGTGTATAAGTATTATATACTAAGTTGTAGACACCAACTAGAACACTTAAATTAAGTATCAACTTCCTTAGAGCACCCAAACCAAACCCATCAACCACATCGTGGTCGCATCTTCGCTTAATCCAAAACCACGTAATAGAAGAGTGATTGTAACTCAAGTGCTAACTTGTAAATTTTGGAAAGATTTTTGTTTCTGGTTCCTTGTCACACCTAGCTCGCACAATCCCAAGTGATAATGAACAAATAATCTTTTTGTTCCTTCCTGATAACACTCGGCAGCAAATTCAACATAATAACATTACCTCTCATTTTCTTTTACCAAGCCTCCGGTAACCATGTACCACACTCAACTAAGACCTGGAATACTTTCTCCCACTTGTTTGGCATGCTCGCATTGGGCAAGCTTGCCCTCCACTGACATAATTGATTTAGAAGATGGCGAGGAGGAATTTGTTTTTATGTCTCGCTAATCGTCCATCTCGTCGCCACCTAAAGGAAGTGGAATCCTTCTCCTATGTACATTCGGTTAACGGACAATTATACGATTTATCCTTACTTATGACCTCTATTAATTCGGTTACCATGCCATATCGTGTTCTTACCATGTTTGGTTAGGATTCTTACTCTCATTGTCATTGTGGCTTCATACATCCATCAAATTCCTCACAATCCAACCACAAACAAAATATTGACGATGTTATGAGAGTTTGTTAGACACTTCACTCCATCAACCATATGTGTGGTTGTCACTTAGTTACCACATGGCAAGGTATCTCTTCCATTGCCTTAGTTTTAAATTTCACTTTTATTAATGAAGTGTGAAAACATTGCAAAGCAGTCAAAATCTCTATTTAAATCTTAAAATCCTACGATTTTACTTACATATTTTGATCATGATTTCACTATAAAATCTATAAACCTTAAAATCTTACACTATTTACAATTTAAATCTTTAAAATGTTAAAAATCTTACGATTTTACGATTCAAATGTTTGGGTCAGTTTTACTTATTTTCCCTAGAATTTGCAAAATTACGCATCTTTTTCTTCTCCACCAACACCGTCTAGTTCTCTCACACTAACCACCATCGACCATACATCAATGCATTAATCATAAAAAGAAATATTTGAAATTATGTAAATAATAATAATATATGGATGATCATTGATCATATTAGATATATACATTATATGCACAATTGGGTTTTTTCCAAGGCAAGCCCAAAGAGCATGGGACAAAGACTTGACACGATTACAAGACCGACTCAAACCCTATGCGTTAGTCCGTATGCAACCAGACTACCGATTAAAGAGCCTGTTAAGCCACTATTTGGGAAGCTCTGAAGAAGTTCTTAGGAGCAAAGACACGACACACGAGGGAAAAAACAAAAATCCAACAAAAAGCTCTTAGTTTCCTTCGACGGAATATGTCAGATGACCAGTATCGAGATGTCACAAAAAGCCATAACAAAGAAAAGAAAAAGACATTAGCAATCTTTGAGAGAACATACTTAATTATTCTCATAAATTTGTAAAATTGAATAAAATCGAACTATCATTTGATAGATCGATGAAATTTATTGCACTTCCTTCAGTTACTTTTTTACCATATGAGCCCCTGCAAGATGTCCAACCAAAAAAACACGACTATGGTGCTAGAAATCTCTATCACAAGAGATTAAATCTTGCCCTTGAAGCAAAGTTGATCTTATCAAAAATGCACCACCAACAGTATTATTCACCTCTTGTAAGTGCAGTACGCTCACTATTAATGACCGTTGTCCAACATTAGAAAAATTAAATCATACTTTTAGCATAGTTGGGTGTTGTAATCCATCATCCCATTTAAATTTCATTTTCATTGCTTATTATCTCTCAATTCATGTATATTGATGGTAGGTAAATGTGGACGGAGCTTCTAATGATGCTCAAGGTTATGCAGGAATAGGGGGAGTGCTTCGAGATGAGAATAGAAATTGGATGGGAGGCTTTGTCGCTAACCTCGGGTCGTGTCCAGCAGCCATGGCGGAGATTTGGGAGATTTATCACGGGCTTAAAGTGGCATAGAAGCTCGGCCACAGAGTAATCTTGTTGGAATCTGACTCACAGACAGCGATCTAGCTTATCAATCACAGATCGGACCCTCATCACCCATATGCGACTCTGCTTTCAGCTATCAGACGTTTGATGTCTCAGGACTGGGTAGTGAAACTAGTGCATACATACCGGGAAGGGAATAGAGTCGCAGAGTGGCTCTCGAAGCACAGTCTCGTCTATCCCTACGAGTTGTATGAACTAGAGGCACCACCCCATGACTTGATCACCCTGCTTGAAGATGACAGTAGGGGAACTACTCTTCCCAGAGATGTGGTAGTGACCACTCCCCCCTTCTCTTCTTAATTTTGGCCCCGTAACCTCTCTTTTGGCGTTACGCCTCCACTGATGCAAAAAAAAAATGTATATTGATGGTAGGTATGTAGAGAGAATGCGAAGTGTGTGGAGTTATAAATAGAGTTTCTTCTTGTACTAACGCGGTCGAGAGATCAGGTGAAAATAGAAGCGCGGCCTCAGGGAGGTCACCGTTCAGATTCGTGGTTCCAGGGTGGGCTTGATGGTCCGTTGTAGTTTGGTTTGGGTTCAAGGTTGTTGGGCCGGTTCCATCATGGCCCGTTATAGTTTTTAGTAAATGAATAATTAGGCAGACACTGCACAACTCAACTCACGACCCAGAGCTGCGTCGTTTTATGAAACGGTCTCAAAGTCGAGGACATGTCGTTCCGAGTTCCGACTACCGAGTATCCGATTTTTGGCGATTGACGAAACACGTGACTGACAGACCAAATTCCCGACTCCGATACTTCGGCAGGGCAGGGGGAGGGTTCGTTTCTCAACCGCCGAGCAATAAGAGAAGAAGAAGCTTGAAAAGCAAAATCAAGGTCGAAGCACTGGAAGACATGGTGGCGATTTCGCTTTACAGGGGGAATCTCCACCGAGTCCCCGATGCCCCTCGTCGATGGCTGATGCCCACCCGAAACCTCTCTCTCAGGGACTTCAAATCCCTCCTCAACCGTCGCTCCAGGGCTCTCTCTCACCTCCGCTCCTCCTCCACTGTCCTTGTCGCCGCCGGTACTACCTCTAACCCTAACCCTGACCTTACCATTTCTACCAAACACGATTCCAAGGAAGCTGGGGATCCTATTACGCCTCAGTTGAAGGAGATGAAAGCTGTTGATGATACGAATCATCGTGGCGATGAGGAAGAAGGGCCTTCCGGGAGGGTTGGAGAAGGTGCTGAAGAGGACCGGGGCTTGTTGAATGGTGGAGATTGCTCGATGAAGCTGGATGATGCGCCTGTTGAGAATCCTGAAGTAGCTGAGAAATGCCGAGTTGAGGTTGTTAATGGTGATGGAGATTTGCAGGCTTTGTTCGCCGTGAAGCTGGAAGAATCGGCTGAACCTAGTGCGGAGGTTCTCATGTTGAAGAATTTTGACTGTTTTGGCGATATCATTTGTTTGGAAGTGTTTATGATGTGTTTCAAGTTGGTAACTAGGCTACATATTCTTCCATTTCTAGTTGTGGAGTTTAGTTGTGCAGTGATAGATTGTTTTTTTTTTTGGGATAGATTGTTAAGCTTCTGAAGCTTTTTGATGCAATTTGCTGCATGACCATTGTTCTCATGAACGTCATTGATGGTTAGGGGCCGTTTGCAGTATTAGTTGGGCTTCCTCTATATAAGGATTTTGAAGGAACTAGTATCAGCGACAACGGTTTGTGTCACTCGTCATTCTTGTTAAATGCAGGTTGATTCTATTGACAGAAAATTAGACACCTGTAAACCCAGAACGAGTGCTATGGTAATCTCCCTTGGTTGGATTCAGACTTTCTAGGATCGTTTACGGTTGTCTGACTATGTTACAACTTAACAAGTGATACTAGAAACTCATCTTCTTGGTGTTTATTGTATTTAAAACGTTAGGAGTCGAATCGCAGCTGATAGATGCGGAAGTCGTCTTAGAGTCAATGTTCCACATTGGAACTTTTGGCCATTTAAGTTTATATCAGAATCCCTTTAGCTGCAGTTAGGAGGTTTCTTGAAATTGTTAATGTCTACTGCCCCTTTTCAATGATCTTTAGTTTTTTCCTCTACAATATTTCTTTATCTGATGATGAACTCTGGTTTCATATGTTTCTCCATAGGAAAACAAAAAACCTGAGCTGTCAGGTGAAAAGGCAAAAAGGAAGAAAGAGGTTGAGGAGAAGTTGGAAATTTTGAATGCAAAGAAGCATAATCTAGTGCAACTTCTGAAGCAGGTAGATTTATAATTCCTTCTCATCCTCATTTTAATCGCTTTATTTCATGGGTTCGTAACAATCGTAAGATTCAAATTCAGTAGTCTTTTTTCTTTTAGAATTGGCTGTCCTATCTACAAACAGAATTTCCTACATTATTGGATTTGGATCCACCGGGATTGGCGGGAAATGAAAGAAAGTGGATGAGGAACTTTAGGAACTTCTACTAGATTTCCTGTTTAACACGTTCTAACCTCTGGCTTCATCACCTATTTTCACGAGATCAGTATGAAATATTTGCTCTCCCTCGACAGCTATTAAATGCCGAGGACGAGCTAAAGAGACGAAGCACTGTGCAGACGATGACAACTCGTCCGTCTGGTCCGCTTCAAGTAGACGTCACAAATGATTCTGGGTCAATGATCAGACAAGTCACTCCTAGGATGGGGTCAGAGGCTAATCTTGGTGCAGATATGGAAGAAGCTGAAACTGAAGATGTTTCAAATCAAAATGTTCATTCTCGTAATTTACAAAGAATGAGCAGTACTTCTCCATGTTCAGAGTCTCCCCTTAGAAGACCTACCCACAATGCGGTAAGTAACATTTTTCCTGCATATTGCGATCACATTGATGAAGAGCCCAAAGTCTTACAATTGCTTTTTGCTTTTTACCCTTGCCTGGGATTGCCTTATTTTTTTTGTCGTTACTAAGAAGACTTGGCAATAAGGTTGCGTCTGTCCCAACTTATGAACGAAATTAGGTCATAGGGATTTGTATTAGCTGCATCCATTAGGTGACAAGAGTTTTAGGCCAGACTGGCTGACAGGCTGATTGCTAAGAATTGACAAGTTTCAGATGGCTAAAGTAAGAGTTTGACTTGTATATATCTAGCTTTTGGAGTTATTCTTCAAATCCTCCGAGTCGCACGGCGTTTTAACCGAAAGAACTTCTTGCGCAATTCATGCCTTTCTGTTTTTATGACCAGAATTTTTTTCTTGATTTCAATTTCAAATTGTTCTCTGGAATTTTTATCAATATGAGGTGATCGTAACACAGTATATAAGACTTGTGATGAAGGCAATCCTTTAGCCTTGTACAGGAAAAAATGAGGATGTGGATACTTTTATTTGCTGTTGTTTCCCTTATTTGTAAATATTCGTTACTGTTTTGTCTTCTGAATTAGTATTGGTGGGGAGGGACTGGAAACCCATTTCCGTGTTTTCCGGTCGTCTCTTTGTTCAATTCTTTTGTCTGAAAAACAACGTTTGGTGAGACTCATCTTCTTGTTTTGTCACCTTCATAGGTTCCACCCTTCCCATCGCGAACAAGTTTGGGAGCCAGCCCATCACGGTTTGCACCAACAGGGCAACAAAATCATCCAGCAAACGCACCACCCACAATATCCATATCTGGGACAAATTACGCTCCATCTTCTCCTTCTCCCATAGCATCTGGTGGCACCTCAGCATTTCGGGATGCTCGCCAACCTAGCCCTTGGAACTAGATCTATCTCGACATCTTAGCTCTTTATGCATGAACTGCTGGAATTCTGAGTCTTTAGCAGTTATCCAGGTAACTACAATGTTTCATCCTCCTTGGCTGATTCTCATCCTGTAGCACTAGAACTTCTGGTGGTACTATTGATACACAGCCCATTCAGGGGCCTTGTTTTCCAGCCAGTCTTCTTGAGGTAGACAACTAGATATCCAACAATCATCAGGTTTGTCTCCTCTCCTCGTCATCATTCTTCCATGTATATCAATTTAACCTGTATTCATTAATTCCATTCATAAAATCATTGATGTTGTCAACTGCAGTGCTAAATATTTGTAGTACTGAAACCCATTTGAGTATATTTGTGCACCTTGTGTTGTAGCTAGCTGTGATAGGTAATACTCGTCTGTGGTTGCTCCTGTAAACAACATTGACGAGAGATGTGCACACTCTTGTTATTCATTGATGAACCATCACTGTGGTGGTTTAATATTCTTGCACAATGAAATTGTTGCGGTTTCTGTCTTTCTTGTTAAGTTTGATGACCTCTACTTCTCTCTGTGTCTTTCGAATGAGTACTTGGATATCTTTAAATTATGGAAGTCTTTTTAACGCTGTTCAAACATGGTTTCAGTTCTAGTACTTGTTGTGTTAACTACCTTTTGGAGGACTTCGTTTTCTGATAGAACCTGGTGATTAGGGTTCTATTTAGCGATTGGGATTGATGGGATCAATTAGGGATTAATCTCCCTGTATCACAAAAGTGGGGGAATGAAGGGGGTTGGTGTGATGGGGAAGAATAACGGGGTGGGGGGAAATTGCTTGGGGACGGAATAAGGAGGGAAGGGAAGGGGTTTGCTTCTTGGGACGGAAGAAGAAAAAGGAGGGAAGGGAAGTTGGTTGCTCGGGGAAGAGGGAGAAGAGAGGAGGGCAGCAGGTTCTGTCGAGGGAGAGGGGAAAAAGAGAGGAAGGGAGTCGACTAAGTTGGGAGGAAAGAGAGAGAGTAAGAAAATTAGGATTTAGGGTTTTAAACTTTGCTTGATCTCTAATTCCACTTACAAGCAGTATATATAGAAATGAACAATTACTGACTACTACCCTACTTATCACTATCTTCCCTAAACAGCCCAAATAATCCGAAATATCAAATAACCGACAATTAATCAAAGTACTAAGAATGCAAGTTTCTATCATCCCTGTTTTCTTCTAAAAACAACCTTGTTCCCAAGGATGTTCCTCTAGCTCACTGGGTCTCCTCCTTGCCATTTCCGATGTCCTCGGCCTTATCTTCTTCATCTTCCCAGCGCCCGACTAACACCATCAGATCCGGCTTTGGGCATTGATGACCGATGGTGAACCGGCCATCACAATTGAAGCACTTGCCCTCCCGCCTCTTCTGCTCGATCTTGGCCGGAGACAGTCGCACGAACTCTTTTGGTATCTCTCGCGGTCCCATCTTGGCCACCGGCGCCGTGCCCCCGCCACCGGCGCCGTGCCCCCGCCACCGGCGCCGTGCCCCCGCCTCCGGCTCCGTGCCCCCGCCTCCGGCATTAGCTCCCGCTGCATTTCTCACCGGCGTTCCTCCACTGCTACCACCGGCCCCACTGCTTCCTCCACCTCCACTCGACTTTGGGTAACGCCTATGAAGTTCCTCTAGCTGGCGATTTCCTCCTCTTTGTGACCTGCAAGACGAAAAGCATCTTTCAAGGAATCTGGCTCAAATACTCTGACCGCTGTTGCTATCTCGGGCTTGAGGCTCGCCATGCACAGCCCCACCACCGTGTCCTCCGGAACTCCCTTGCACTGGTTCCCCAGCTTGAAGAACTCAGCCCGGTAATCGGCCACAGTGCCGGTCTGCTTCAACTTGGCCAACTGCTCAGGGGCCCACCCTTCTGACTTCCCGAAATGGTATCGGAGCTCCTCCTGAAACATGGGCCAGGTAATCAAAGTCTCGGCCGCTGCATATGATCTCTCCATCCACTCCCACCACTGGAGTGCATCACCCTCCAAATAAAACGACGCCAGTTATGCCTTTCTCTCCTCCAGAATCGGATGGTTTCTTAACCACCTCTCAGTTGCATACAACCAAAGACCTGCATCCTCTTGCCCATTGAATTTTGGAAACTCAATGGTAGGAGGCTTGGCGCGAAAAACCACTCCATCAGCTCCTTCATAGTTAATACCATATGAGCCATACCTGTCGACCCGGTGTCCTCCATGGCTGCCCGTACATGTTTTCCAGCGCCCGGCTCAGATTCTCATGCCCGTAGTCTCCCGGGTAGCTGCCTGGCGGGCCCTGGTACCCGCCCGGAACATAGGGTGTCCCATGCGGACCCTCCAAACAAGCTGGTCCCCTACTGTCCACCCTTCTCGGTTGCTGATTGGAAGGGCTCGGACGATGCCCGGTTCGACCCATCTCGGGCCGACCCATTCCTGCCCGACTTGACCCGGTCCGGTTCACATCGATTCGCCCAGCATCAACCCGCCCTGTACCGGTCCGAGCCGCCTCGGCCGCACTCACTACGATCAGCCCAGCAATGTCGGCGGCCCTCCCCGGCCCACCGGGCCCTCTCTGGTCCACCTCCGGTCCGGTCCACTGCGTTTGTGGATCCGCCATGCTGAACTCATCATCTTCGGGCTCAGCATCCATGTCCAACCATCCTAGCCCATTGGCGCCTTTCGCATAGTGGCCCACCATCTCTGGCCCAACATTCATTGAAGGCCCATCCGCGTCATAACCTGTGGCATCCTGGCCTTCCCCTTGCGGGCCGCAATCTCCTGGTCGTAGGCATAGGCAAAAGACCCGAGCCCGTACACAACCCTGCCGGTACTGGCCCTGTACCTGCTCCGCCCCCGCTCGCATCCTGCCCGGGCTCGGCGGCCGTCTCCAGCACCGCCCCCTGGCCGCCTTTGCCGCCGCCGCCACCTTTGCCGCCGCCTTCACCTCCGCCGCTGCCGTTGGATCTGCGCCATGGGCCAGGCAGCATCCACCCGCCGCCGAATCCTGGCCGTCAGTCGCCTCGCCGCTGCCGCCTCCGCCGTGCCCCAGGATCTCCGTCAGCATCACCTTGAGCTCGCCAATCGCGAGCCACAGCTTCTGTGAGTCCGCCTGCCTGGACTTGCGCTCGTGCTCCACTACATCCACCATTTTGTCCAAATCGGTGCGGAGCTCTTCACCGATCGTCTCGTCAACCATCTCCCCGTCCCGCGGACTGGGAACCCCATGTGCGCCATCATCGGAGGATGGTAGCCCCGTCGTGGCCGCAGTCACGGCCTGCTCTTGCGCCGCCTTGGCTGCCTTCTCAGCTGCCGTCATAGACTTCGTCGACACCATCTCGATTGTCTACGTTTGATCGCGAACCCAAGAACAGGGCTCTGATAACAAATGATAGAACCTGGTGATTAGGGTTCTATCTAGCAATTGAGATTGATGGGATCAATTAGGGATTAATCTCCTTGTATCACAAAAGTGGGGGAATGAAGGGGGTTGGTGTGGTGGGGAAGAATAACGAGGTGGGGGGAAATTGCTTGGGGACGGAATAAGGAGGGAAGGGAAGGGGTTTGCTGCTTGGGACGGAAGAAGAAAAAGGAGGGAAGGGAAGTTGGTTGCTCGGGGAAGAGGGAGAAGAGAGGAGGGCAGCAGGTTCTGCCGAGGGAGAGGGAAAAAAGAGAGGAAGGGAGTAGGCTGAGTTGGGAGGAAAGAGAGAGAGTTAGAAAATTAGGATTTAGGGTTTTAATCTTTGCTTGATCTCTAATTCCACTTACAAGCAGTATATATAGAAATGAACAATTACCGACTATTACTTGACTTATCACTATCTTCCCTAAACAGCCCAAATGTGGATGTGTAAGACAAGTGTGGATGTGTAAGAACTATGGATCTTCCGTCTAAGATTTCATAATTGGGGATAGATGTATGATAGAAACCTATTTCTAGGGTTCTATCAATTGGGTTGGGAAATTGGGAATTGATAGGAATTATGGCTTTAGAAGAGAATTTGGGGAAGAAGATAGATAATCGGCCTAGACCTTTAGAAGGATTGAGATCTAGAACTAAGAGGATAGGGAGATTATGATTTAGGAGAGTTTTCTTAATATTCTTCTTATTGATTCTAAACGAATAACAAAGTACATTTATATAGGAAAAGAGCTGAAAACCTAATAATAACCCAAAACTTAACAACAAAGTAATTATTTATTCTAATAATTATCTCTAATATGGATATTGTAATTATAATAGAAACATGTGGAAAATAGTTTTCTATCATCCCCTCTCCCTTGAGACCAATCTTGCTCTCAAGATTGACCAACTGGATCCACTTCTCCGCTTTCCTCGTGCCACCTGCACAATGATTTCTTCATCTCTTGCGCTTCTTCCATTTTTTCCTTTTTCCAATTTCATTGAAGCTCACAACAAATTCAACATTAACAGCTTCAACTTTCATCGATCCTCCAGCAGTTCCAATCTCTCTTGATTCTTCTCTGACCACGTGACGCCTATCATCTTTGATGGAAGATGCTATCATATCAGCCGCACAAATGGAGATAAAAACGAGCCACAACTCTCCACAAACTCTTCTTCTCCACTTCGAAACCTCCTATGTCTTTGGGGTGGGTACCAGCCTGGTAGCCTATTCAGGCTCACTTAGACCCTAGCCCACATACCTCAGAGGAGCAACCTCTAGGGCACCATCGTCGCCCATGGAGTTTTCTGCAACGCCGATGTGGTGACTATCGCCGCGGTTGGAGTCACGCTGGTGGTGGGAGCTGTCGGCGGCATCGACACCACTAGCACCACGAGCGTCTCCTTTGTTACGACTTCTTTCCTTCGCACGCTTTTATGCTCCGCCTCCATCTTCATCATCTGCAGTATCGTCTTCTAAAACTCTTTCATCTGTTCAATGGCTCTTTGCATTGTCTTTTGCAGGGAAGTCGATATCTCATGCACACTACGATTAAGATCCACATGGAGGCCCTTACTAAAGGTGACATCTTCATCCTCTAAGACCTCTTGTGGTGCTTTTTTCTGGAGAAGACTCCATCATAATTTCTTCGATGAACGTTGATGCCGAGCAGGTTCTGGTACAACTATAAGAACTATGGATCTAGGCATCTCTGTCTAGGGTTCCACAATTGTGGATAGATGCAGAATTAGAAATTTTGAAGGATTAGGGATTAGAAAGATATAATTAAGGAATGTTTTTGGGAAGAACAAGAGAGAGAATGAGAGGGGTAAAGATGCAGAAGAGGGGGTGGGGGTTGTTGGATTGAGAGAGGGGAGAGAGAATTAGGATTTAATGAAATTATGTTTGCCTAATGAGAAAGTTTCCACAATTACATAATTTAAAGTTTTACTCTAGCAAATATCTCAAAACCTCCAAAATGCATAAACATGAGAAAACTGACAAAATAATCCAAATATATAGTAAATAAAGACAAAAGTCCGCGTTTAAAATTAGGAGTGGCTCTCGGTCGATTTAGGTTTAACCAAAATCCGAAACATGGGTTATCGGTTAATCGAAACTCTCCAAATAAATGTCGACCACCGACCCAGGACCATGTTAGGTTAACCGGCGAACCGATCGAACGGTTTTAGGTTTTGGGCTCGGTTAGCCGTGAAATCAAAATTGTGATGGCCGGGTCAGTTTTAACCGGTAAAGAAGAGGAAGGGTTGATGGCATGGTTGATTAAAAAGAAGAAAGAAAAAGAAATTGAAGAAAACAAAGCATAAGAAAAGAACAAAAGAAGAAAAATAAAATGAAGAACCTACCACGACTTATGTAACCTAATTCGTCCCTTTTGTGTGGCCGCTCCCAATTTGGAGCGTGGAAACGCGGATCGGAACGGGATCGCCTAAAAGTCGCGAATCCATTTATGCTAGAGCGCGGATTCACTATCAGCAAAGCGTGAATTTCCCTAAGCTCAATGTTCACTTGGCCCAATGCTTACTTAGTCGAGTTTACGCCGTGTTGTTTGTGTCTGTCTTTGTCGGTTGTTGTGGCGATTTGGCGGACAAGGTGGTGGTGAAGCTGGGCGTCAGAGGGGGAGAGAGTCGGGTTCTAGCGACGGGTCTCGGAGTTCGGAGAGCTAGCAGCGGGTCTCAAATGAAGCCTTGGCTTATCACCACCGTCCACTGAGACCTCTGTTGATGCTGCCATTGATTGGGATTTGAAAGTAGGAAACCCCCTGATTTTGATTCCATTGTGAGAGAGGTAAGGTAAGAGCAGACATGTGAGTTTACCCGAGCGATTTCTGCCGAGTCTTTTCCTTCAATTTGCTGGGAAGTTTTTCAATTTTGAACGAGAAGGAAAAAGGAATAAAGGTGCTCTGTTACCCATTTATCTTTATATTAAAAGAGGAAGGGAGGGTGAAAAATTTATAATTAAATTAATGTTTATTATTTTTGGAGTGATTGGTGGTGCACGTCCCATCACTTGACTCCGTTTTATGTAGGCTTAGTCCGTTTCCATTAAATTTATTTAACCTAATTAGTTAATTGTATTAGTCCATTGTAGGAAATTGAAGTCGAGTTCCCTCCTAGTCACTAATTCTGTACAATTTTGGATCATATCTTATATAAATAATAATATAATATTGACGCTTTCTTCACGCTCTCAATATTGAATTCTTCTAAGATAGATGCTTCTGCTCCCGCTCCCGCTCCACGAACTGGTTATCTAAACCACGACACATTTCTTCTCTCATTATCTTCTTATTCTCTCTGCTTCTTCTTCTCTCTTCTTCTTCTTCTCTCCTCTCCACATGTTTGTGCGGCCAACCGACCGACCGGCGGGGTGGTTCTCATCGCCCCGACCTGAGGTAGAAGAGGAAGGGATCGAGGGAAAACGACAAGGTCGGGGCCGGAATGCGGTGAGTGGGACGGCGGGAACTGGATTTGCCGATTTGGAGTTGATGGAGCCGGTTGGAAGTGAAAGGGCGATCGGCAGGGTGGTTATCACTGCCTCGACCTGAGGCAGAAGTGTAAAGGGGCGAGCGCGGGCGGCAAGGTCGGGGTCGAAAGGGGGCGAGTGATGAAATTTGGTAGTGGAAACTGGTGGATGATGGGGCAGAGATTAATTAGGTTTTCGTTTTTGTCCTTGGGGGTGGTTGAATCTGGTGGTGGAAACTTGTGGACACGGTATCGTTTGGGCATTTTGGGGGGTGGAGGTTTGTTAACTTTGGTTAGCCGGTTAACCACGGAAATAGCCTTCGGTTACTCGGCTAACCGAAACACACCTCCCTCCCTACGAACACTGACCGCTCGTTAGTTTAGTCAGTTTTCAGTTAGCCGCAAACCGGTATTTATCGGTTAAACTAACCGGTTAGCCGCTAACTAGTGTTTAACGGTTAAACTAACCGGTTGGTCGTTAACCGACAACCGAACTGCCACGCCTATTTATAATTATAATGCTTTGGTCATCCGGTTCAATAAAACCAAATAGAAGCGAACCGAATCGAGCTCAAACCGAACCAAAACCGAATAAGTATTGTTCGGTTCAGAATTCTGAAGGAGAATTGACATAATTCGGAAATCAGGGTCTTCTTGTGCGAACCGAGCTTCCGAACCCCGAACCGATGAACCGAAATATACTGCCTAGCCCAATGCACTCGCTGGCGCAATCCCCTAACAGCCCAAATCTCCTATTTCAAAGCCCAGTCAGACCCCACAAGGCCACAACCCTAAGTCCAATCCCCTACCAGATTCCCACCCTTAACCCTATCTCTAATTCCCTATCGCTTATCAAATTCCTTTTCCCACAGCAGCAGGCAACGCCTTGCCGGTCGTTGCTCCTTTGCCAACCACCAACCCTCCACTGCTGCCGTTCCAAAGGAGATCTCTACTCTTGCTCATCGACTGCCCACTGGAGTCCGATCATCGATGGCATTTCCCCTCTCTTCGCTCTCTTCTACTCCCTGAAACTAGAAACCCAAATCCAAACATAAAAACGCACATGAATCAAAATCAATATTGAAAACAAACGAGTGAACCACATGCATGTTGAAAATGAAAAGAGCTTACCCGATTCTAGATCCAACTTCATCGTTGTCGTTCGTGGCCTTGGGAGTTTAATCTCCCTCTTCATCGTCGCTCGTGGATGTGGCCTGTTTGTTCAATCTCCGATTGTCAGCCCGTCGGGGGGATTGGAGCATCGTCCCAATTCCTGTCGCCAGCTATGCCCGCCCCCGTCTCCACCACGCTGAGAGACGACAGCGAATGGAAGAAGAAGGGACTCTTTGGTGGAGCCGTCAACGACTGATGAGCCAAAATCTAATGTTGCGGCGGGAGAGGGGAGAAGGAAGAGGAGGAAGTGGGCGAGAGGAGCTTTAGATTGAGATTGATTTTTTTTTATTTTGTAGAATAGATGGGTTTATGGGCTGTCTTTTGTCAACGAGGAGAAGAAAGAGTGACAGAGGGGGAGAAGTTCGGGTTTTGGGTTTCCAGTTCCAAACCGATTTATATTTTGGTTCGACCTGAACGAACCGAAATGTAATTCGGTTTGGAATTGGTTTACCCTTTGAGTGAAATAAGGGTACCGGTAATCATCATTTCGGTTTGGTTTGGCCCAAACCGATCGAATGCCCACCCCTACCTTGGAGCGATCAATCTTGGCTCCCTCAAAGCCTCCATGCAATAGACATAAACTCACCATTTGCAAGCTCGAGGGTACGATGTTGGCAGAAATGGCACCCTAGGCACCAATTCATTTTATGGAAGCCGTGTTTTAGGTGTTTTTTGGAATCTCGTCCTCGACTGATGTTCTCCTTAGCACCTGCCCCATGTGCAACTAGTTTATTAGTTATGTAGGTTAGCGAACTATAGAGGTTTTTAGACGATGTAATGATTGATTCATGGTTTATATGAGTATTTTGATTGTTTGATATCTTCGTATGATTTTTTGTTGATTGCGTACTGAGGATGCTACTATCATCTCATGCGATATAGACTTCAAATTTGACGTTGTGTTAGATGTGACTGATTATCAATCGATTGAACTGCATGACACCTCATTAGAGAAATCTATAGGGTCTCATTGTAGCTTATTAGATCTAGTAAACGTCAGACACAAGGTGGGATTAAATCCTACAAGAATTAGACAGCTCGTATGCTGCCAGTATCAGTAGAAGCAAGTCTAAGGAAACTCTAGGGGAGCTTGTCTATGCAACAGTTTTCCTTCTGCTTTTCCTCGTCCAGTAGTATAAGTTGTCTTTATTTTTGCTTTAGATTTTCGAACCAAACAATGAGAACTTAAACTCCGAAGACACTTGAACCTAAGGATGGCAATGGGTAGGGTCGGGTGCGGGTTTACCCTATACCAACTCCTAACCCGTCGGGTAGAGACTTCTAAAATACCCGACCAAATAACCACCGGGTATGAAAATTATATAACCTTACCCTACCCGCCGGATAACCACGGGTATTCGGGTAACCATGGGTACAAATCCTAAACTATTAACTTATACACATATATGCACATACATACTGTTGTCCATTAAAAATTCTAAATACTTGTAACTTGTAACTGTTCTAGCTTCAACAATCCACACAAATAAAAATAGCAAACACATAATAATTGTTCTTGCTTCTACAATCCACACAAACATAATAATCGTTTACATCTTCATCATCAATAATGGTAGCTAAACTCAATTTCTCAAGCTAATCTAAATTTCTCAAGGGAAATTGACCCTTTGGTTAGCGGGGCGGGTATTATTGATTACCATACTCGTACCCTACCCTTTATTTTGAAGCCGGGTATTACCGGAACCCGCCCCTTAACCCGTCAAAGCGGGTAATTACCCTCGTTGACCGGTTACGGTCGGGTAGGGTACCCATGGTTACGGTTCGGATTGACATCCCTACTTGAACCTCCTCATTCGTTTTTACAAACCTAAAAGCAGGTAACTTACTGACAGAGTAAGGAGATATGTAGGGCCGAAGGAAATACATTCCTAGTTACCAACCAGGTAAATTCGACCCTTGTTATACGACGGATTAACGACCACTTTATGCAAGACCGTTTGTTGCTTATGTCCTTGCGATATAGGCGACTAGGCTCGAAAATTCACAAAGGAGACCTAAATTAGACCCACTTGGAAAATAGTGTTTCTCATGTACTTTGGTGAGAGAATTAATATGTTTTGTATCTCTATCTAGCTTATCTCTATACTCAAAGGTACCTTTGCTTACATCTCAAACTGGGCAATGCCAATAAGAAGACGGTTAATATGTTTCTTAGGTCATTAGCAACCACCCATTTTGAGCTATAAAAACAATATAAATTAGCTACAAAATACATAGTAATTTTCTTTATCTGTCAAATCAAAATATATCACATATTGATAAGAAAAACAAATTCCAACCACATCCTCCATCACTTAAACTCACTCCTTACCAAAGAAGGAAATAATTTAATCTCGGTTTTCCTGGGACACCTACTTGAAAAGCTCTGCCTAACAAGGATGTTGAAAAGGGAGGACCTAAGTATTTTTAATTATGCTTTTTATAAACTTAAATTAGGATTGTGTTTATTTTCTATTTTGGAGATGTTTTGGATATTTTGTGGAATTAGTCTACACAATTCAAAGGCTAGTTGAGTAGGGGATTTGGTAGAAATTATTGAATAATAAGAAAAGTCTAAGGCATCTAAACCTAGTTCCTTTTCCTTCTTATGTGTCGTGACCCCTCTCTCTCCGTTTCACTCTCGTTCTCACTAAATTATGCCTAATACTTCTCTAATTCAATCTTTCTTTTTATATTCTCCTTATATTTGTGTGATTGCGATTATATCCTACATCTGAACAATCCAAGAATACATCAAATATTAATATTGGAAAATTTTATTGAAGTAAAGGAATGTGTAAATTTTTATAATAAATATGTGTAAATTTTTATAGTAAATATGTGTAATTTATTTTATTTCACCTCCCCAAATCAAAATCTTGGGTTCGCTCCGTGGGGAGATGTGGGGTGGAGATGGCTGAGGGAAAATCCTTTTGATTGGGAGTTCAAGAAGCTCTGGAGAAGGTCTCTCATTTCTACTAATCGAAATTGATTGCCTTATCACCATTTGTAAGTTTTTGAAGATGAGATTGGCAAAACAGAGAGAAAGGTTATGCTCGACAAAGTTATACGGTTATAGAGTTTGAAAGTGTTAATTTGGTGAAACTTTGTAAATAAAGAGGGAAACTAATTATACATTAAAGAGGTCGGAGGTGTTAATTGTGTGAAACTTTGTAAATGATAGCGCTCCCATCTAGCTGCTTCCACCACACATTCCCAACTAGACGCCTTCTCAGCGTCATCAAGATTAATATATATATTTTTTATAACCCAGAAATATTCCCATGCACACACTCCTTGAGCCATGTGTGGAGCGAGACCAAACCTGTTGGGCTAAGTAGGATTGCCACCTAAACCTAGCCCATGTAAGCCAACTCGGCCCAATAAGCAAACTAAGCCCAATGAGAAATGTGGAAGCGTAAGGCGTACAACGAGAAGCTAAGGACGGTAGGTTGTAGACTAGGCACTAAGTGGTGTCGGAGGCGGAGTATAGGTAAAGTACGTTCGATAAGACAACATTAGTGCTTATCATACCAACACTAACAGGACATTTAATGCGACCACAAGCGTGGCCTCGGGAAAGTAACTTCTAGTACATGCATAATAGAGCATTAAATGCTCGTACGAGTGGCAATTGGCTATAAATACCATCCAACCACATCATTTAATGGTAACTGAACTACCCACTCTCTCTACTTTCTCTCTCTAAATACATTTTAACATACTCTTTGGAGAGTGTTCGAAGTTATCGCCTCCGGAACCTTGGTGCAGGAGTCAGCATCACCGCTACGCATCCGACAAGAGGCAAGATACCTACGAAAGTGGTCACCTAATACGCCCGGTACATTCCAAGCTTAAACAAAAACTAATTATACCATTAAAGAGGTCGAATGTGTTAATTGGGTGAAACTTTGTAAACGATAGCCCTCCCATCCAGCTGCTTCCACCATGCATTCCCAACTAGACGCCTTCTCGGCATCTTCCCGATTAATATATTTTTTATTATTATCCAAAAACATTCCCACGCACACACCGCTAGAGCTAGGGGTAGAAATTGGAGTGAGTATGGTTACCCGCCCCATATTTTGCGGGTACCCACACTCACAAATATACAATTATGCTACCCACAACCAGCACCGTAGTGGTTAGTAGGTAACCACTACCCACTGCGGGTTGGTATGGGTTGGGTGTGGTTACCCTAAAAAATCCATCTTTGCAAGCATGGAGTTAAGGCCGCTACTAATATATTTGTTGTTCGTAGTTAGACTACAGTGATATACAATTGTGTTGTTCGTGGAGATACAATTTTGTATATCGATCTTACTCAACGTAGAGATTTTTTCTTTTCGAGTTTGGTATTCATCTTTTGTGTCAGGGAACTGTGATTTCATATTTCACCGACTAGGGGTGGAATATGACAATTAAATTTGATCTTGTATTTTCTTTCACACAAAAGCAAAACACATACAGATAAAAGTTAATAAAGGTGTTCACTTTTAATGAATCGATTATACTCCACTCTCTTGATTATAGTGTTTTCTAAACTGAAAAAAATTCTCACATAAAACTGATTAGGTGCATATTTGATTTTGGTGGCTACTTTTATTTTTAGCCTCCCACTTTTCACATACTACTATATTATAAAGTTAATTCAGTAAATAAATATAATTAGTGTGGTTATTGTGGATTTTGTGGATTAACCGCGTTGGATAGTGGGTAACCACTAACCACAAAAATTATTATTTTACTACCCACACCCAATTCACTACCCACAACTTGTGGGTATGGTTACCCATTGTTGGTGCAGGTTGGTGCGGTTTGTGGGTTATCCACAACCCGCAATCCAAACTTCCACCCCTAGCTAGAGCGATGTGTGGAGCGAGACCAAACCTGGGGGTTCATCTACTTGAGCCCTTTGGGTTCTCCATGAGGATCTCCGTTATCATTAAATCGGGAACACCATAGCGGACCTCAACGAGGGTCGAACACAAGATCCGACACTTCCCGAAATGAACACCCACTAAGAGTTTCACCAATAGGCTATGTGAGTGTGACCTTCAGCCTTCACAATTAATATTCAACCATCATCATCACCCGCCAATTCTTGCCTTTTCGAGGCATTTGGGAGGAGGATAGTTTTATTTATTTAAATGAGGCGCAAACTGCCAAGAAGTAGAAACAGGGGTAACATGGGTGATTGCGGAAGATGGATGATGCGTCGACGCAAAACAACGCCTCGCTCATCGTCATAGAGAATGCCAATCATAGGAATCGGCTGGTCAACTAGTTCATACATACCGCAGGGATAGATGAGAGCGTACTTCGAGAGTCAATCCGCGACTCTATTCCCTTCTCGGTATGTATGTCCTATGTTAACCAACCAATCTTGCACCAACAATGTGCGAATGAAGTTCAGGAGCGATGCTAAAGGATGTACATGATTCAGGAGAGTCAAGCCATATGAAATGCTTGACCCGCTCCAGCACCTGAAGCTCCCAGACTCCTTCCCTAAGTTGCGGATTCGAAGGCGTCGGAGGCGGGAAGGCAAGCTGGTAGGCTGATCTTGCAGAGAATTTCCCATTGGAAGTGGGCTGCCAGCACATCTTGTCAGCCTCAGGCGTGCGAGGGTCGGTAGCAACTGTCGTGATCTTGCCAACGATGTTATCTGGGAGTAGATCTTGAAACTGCTCAATCTGCCACCTCCCATTGTCATCCAGGTAAGTTGCAACAGGTTTCAGGGCATCCTACAACAAGACCTTAGAGACCGCTACTTCCTTGAGAGGCACCTGCAAAACCCAAACATCAATCCAGAATTTGGTGCTTTTTCCATTGGCTATGTTCCAAACGCATCCTTTCCTCAGAATAGGAGTAGCTATGGTAACACTTTTACAGGTGAATGAACTTCCTTTTTTGGTTTCGAGGGTGGAGATGCCCTCCTTGTTGGGCCCGTACTTCCCCCGAACGACTTGAGTCCAGAGTATGTCTTTCTCCTGGATCACTCTCCATCCATTCTTCACAAGAAGGGCAACGTTCGTATGCCGGAGGGAACGAAGACCTACCCCTTCATTCTCCTTCGGCTCAAGGAGTTTCTTTCACCCACCAAGTGAGAATGCTCTATGTTCTCAGTGTCTCCCCAGATAAAAGCTATGTTAATGTTGTCCATCTCTTTACAAACTAACATTGGGAGCATCTCCTTCTGCATAGAGTAAACAGGTATAGAGGTTGAAACAGAACGCGCCACAATTAACCGAGCAACAAGGGAAAGTTTCTTAGCTTTCCAGGTTGAAAGCTTCTTTTGAATTCTAAGGATGAGGTCCCGATACCGATCCTTAGTCACTCTGGAATTGATGGCCATGACCCCCAGGTATCGCCCAATGTCCGAGGTAAGCGGGATGCCTGCTCGATTACTGTAAACCGCGACTTTCTCTCTCAGCACATTAGGTGAGACATACATCAGCGACTTATGGAGATTCAACCGTTGGCCCGATCTGCTGCAGAAGTCCTCCATGCATTGCTTGATAGTCGAAATTTGGTTCAGTCCGGCTTCCGCAAAAATCATGAGGTCATCTGCAAAAAAGAGGTGTGAGAGTTTCGGGCTACCGGGGGAAGCGTAAGAGGTTTCCATCTTTTCTCCTCGATGGCCTGGTTAATTCTATGAGAGAGTCTTTCCATACAGAGAATAAAAAGATATGAAGAAAGAGGGTCTCCCTATCGGACGCCTCTGCAGGGTGTGATGAGATTGGAGAGTTCTCCATTCCACAAAATGTGCGTCTTATTCCTCTACACACATACCATGATGCAATTGATCCAGGAGCTTGGCAAGCCAAACTCCATCAACGTGTCATGGAGGAAGTCCTAGCGGAGTCGGTCGTATGCTTTCTTCAGGTCAATTTTGATCACCACACCTCCCTTCCTCCCCTTGCGTTTCTGAAAAGAGTGAAAAATCTCCTGAACCACTATGATGTTGTTGGTCGTCTGTTTGGGAGGAGGATAGTTATTACTTATTATTGAGAGATAATCCATTCATTAATGATTTCCCTTGAATTCTTTTGTGGTTGGTCGTGAACTTAAGAAACAAGATTATCTATGTTGTGGCCCGTGTGGTCCTTAATTACCTGAATCTTAGCGCCCTCGTTAAACGACTATCGTTGTGATTCGTGTCGTGACTGCCTAGATCACTTCTAGATCTGTTCCATGCCTTATGTACATTGACGAGTACACAGTCTATAAAGCATTAGCAGAAAACAAATTAGATCTGAGTCAATGGTCAAAGCGAGCGAGGGAAGTAGGCAAAGGCCTCTCCATTCCATTCCAAATTTCCATGCCTTGGCGGCTCCACCCGTGGCATGGTGTGCATGTTAGGAAGAAGACAAAACCAGATCTGCTCCACCGCCCACAACACATTACCACATGTCCCTCCCAAACCCCAATCCATTGAGAGCCTTCAACTCCTCGTCTCCTCTCTTCACCAGCTCCCTCTCCTAACAAAACCTAGCATAGTAAAACAGCCTCCAGCAGCCTAATCTGCTGAAATCTTAGCAGCGACTTTCCACGGACACCCTAAAGTTTCAGTCTTTCTCAGAGAAGCAGGCATGGCACACCACACCACCACCACAAACCACAGGCGCATCCTAACATCCCATCCAGAACCCCCATCCCCATCCCCACCCAAACCCAAATCCACCCAACACCAACCTTCGCCCAGCGCCATGGATCCCACTTCCCAAACATCCAAAGCCCACCACCCCACCACCACCATCAAGATCGTCAACAGAGATCCTCCTCCAGCGAAACCCAATGCTAGTACTAGTTCATCTTTCATGTCTAATTACTTGTCCTCCAGACTCCTAAACCCATCTCACTACCACCACTCCAGCAACAAAAACCCACCCCCACCTTGCCTAGATTCCCATTTGCAGGCCAGAGCCATGACCGCTTCTGCTGATTTTGAAGCTTCTTCCAGGTTACCTGCCGCTAAAGCCAAGTACTACTACGCCCAGCAAAGGAGACCCAGCGATGGCAGAGGTGACAAGGAGACACTGAAAAGGGTCGTTGGAAAGCAAGAAGCTTTACCCAAGGGGAGGGTCAAGAAGCAGGATTTGGATTTGGGTTTGGTGGTGATGGAGGAGAAGAAGAAAGTTTTGGTTGTCAGTGAGAAGACCAAGAAGAAGAGCAGCAGTAAGAATGATGATGTTGCTGATTATGAGAGTGGGAAGAAGGAAATGAGGAAGGAAATGGATTTGTTGTTGTTTGAAGGGGTTGATGATGTTAAGAGGATGTCATCGTCGGTCTCATTTGGTGTTGGTGGGGAGAGAAGGCGATCCTTGAGTGGCTCGCAAGTGCAGTTGGGTGATTTCTTAGCAAGCAACGGTGCTAAGATTGTATCAGTTGATATGCCCCCATTTATGCAGATCCATGCCATTGATTGTGCCAGGAAGACTTGTGATAGTCTCGAGAAGTTCGCTGCCAAGACCCTAGCTCTCACTCTCAAGAAGGTAATTACTACTGCTCATCTTATTGGAATGTCTTGATTGACTGAGGGATTGTTCTCTTCATGTGGGTTTGTGAGAGTTATGACAGTTAATGATTGGGTTTTGTTTGCATAGTCCTGATTGCTTTCATTTCATCATCTTGCTGCAGGAGTTTGATGGTGTTTATGGTCCGGCATGGCATTGCATCGTAGGGACAAGTTTTGGGTCCTTTGTGACCCATTCAGTTGGTGGGTTTCTCTATTTCTCAATGGACTCCAAATTATATGTCCTCTTGTTTAAGACTACGGTCCAGAGAGCAGCAGATTCAGTTGAATGATTGGAATTATAGAATAGATTTGTTTAGTGGAGCTGAAAGGAAAGAAAGAGATGGGCCAGAAGCTAAAAAGAACTGCTGTCTCCTTCTACAGATCTGTATTGTGAGGATTGTTTTTTTGTCTCTGGCTGTAGAAACTAGGAAAGCAGCAAAGCAAATATGTGAATATGATGTGAAAAGTTTTCACCTTTTCCACCCTTGTTTCAAGGACCCTCCCATCTTTCTTCCAAGCTCTATCACAAAGTTCTCCCAGCTTTCGTGAGTAGTTTCACAGGCCGAAATTTCTGTATCTTTCTCTCCCTGGCCAGTGGTCACCTAGTTGCTGTACAAGTGAATGCAAAGCATGGCAACCTCTTCTTCTTTCAATGTTTGTGATGAATAGATTATTATAATAACATGACAGAAGCTGACTCGAACTAGTTTACATGATCTGCTGATGGCCTTAGCATTTCATACCTCACCAAAACTCCAGTTTCTGTTATGCCCATTATTTTCATTACTGTTTTAGTTGTTTTTTTTTTGTGTAGGAATTTTAGTTGATTTTTGATTGCATCTTCCCTTTCCAGTTTCCATTCCATATATATCCCATTTTGTCTGTGGTGTGTGGGGTTATCTTGGGTTGCCAGGACCACTCCACCCTTAGAGGGTGATGAAAAAAAGAGGGGAAGAAAGTCTTGTGTTACTCGGAGAGTGCATTTCTGGTCTTGGAAAACTACAAAGAGAGAATTGGCATGGACTGGAAGTTTTGCATTCTGTGGTTGGGACCAAACTATGAACAGTACCATCAATTAATGATGATGATGGTGATGCAGTGCCGTTAAGCTCTTTGAGTCGTTACACTTCTGTGGGTTGGATGATCAATTCTTGTAATGGACGGAGGGTCAGTGCTAGAATTTTGCAAAGAGAATCTGGTTTAAGACTCTACATTGTTCTCTTTGTTTTTCTTAATTAGGGTAGGCTTTGTACTTTGAATTGGAAGATTTTCGATGAAGGATGCGTTTGGAAGATTTTCGATGAAAGGATGCGGAGGGTCCGTGCTAGAATTTTGCAAAGAGAATCATAAAGCAGTGGAGGCTTAAAGCCATTCAATGATTATCCCACAGTATGTGACCAAGTGGAGGGCTTTTTACTGCAAAAGAGCAACCACTTTTTTTATTTTAACAGAAGATAATTATATTCATTGATAATAAGATCACGAACTACATTCTAGACCCAACCCAAGCACGAAAATCATATAAGCGACACGCAATCGGAGACAAAGAAAGGGCCTTTCTAGCCACTAAATGGACTACCCTATTGCTAATCTGACCCACGAATCGAATACTAAAGCCACTACTCAACGCCATCAACCGCATAATCTCTTGGATAATAGCCCCAACACGACTATCTTGCGCATCCATTGCATTAATCTTATCAATGAGCACCTTCACATAACCTTCAAAGCGAACTTGAGTGATGCCGAGATTCTAACACCACTGAATAGGTTCACGGAGGACAATAGTATCCACCACAAGAGGGTTAACAACGTCTTCAAACACCATTCCTCTTGCTAAGAGAACAGGCCCTCCTCCGTCCTTTATGATCAATCCTCCCACTGAATGTGAATCAGCACGAACCGCCTCATCCCACATAACGACATAAGTCAAATCCACCACCTCCAGATTGTGTTGCAAAGGATGCCGATCCGGGGCCAGTCTATCCTCTGGCAGAGACACCCGTTCATGGAGTTGCTGATGGTATTGGCGCATCAGTTGAGGAATCAAGATCAGCTTGCCCTCAAAGGAAACCCAGTTTCTAGATTTCCAAATCCGCCACAGGAGTGCCACCAAAGCCATAATCTCGGCCCGCTGAGTCATCCGAAGTAAGCAATTTATAAGGAACAGAGGGAAAGTCTGTCGAGGCAAACCATGACCCAGATGCTCCAATCCCGAATGAGTCCAAAGAGCCACAACAATTGGACACTCCCAAAAGAGGTGCTCCATCGTTTTAGATTCCGCCCAACAAATCGGGCATCGAGGCAAAATCTGGACCCTTTTCTCAATCAAAGATTCGGTAGTGGGCATGATACAGTGGAAAATTTGCCATAAGTACAATTTTAGCTTAGGCGGGATCTGAAGCTCCCACATTCGCCTCCAGCTCGCCCTATCCATCCAACTTACCATGGGGCGCCGCAACCCACCTGTCTATCCATCAAAACAGCCAGGTGGTAAGCAGACTTAACAGTGAAGAGTCCATCACATGTATCATGCCATACCAGTCTATCCTCTATACCTAGGTAGGGCAAGGGAATTGCCATGATGGTCCGTGCTACATCTGGTGGAACACATCTGCTGTAGTGATTGACGACACAACCCTCCCCCACCAGGAACTATGAGCTCGGCTACCTTTGGGTCATTGCCCTCCGGAATAACACGAGGATTAACCATAGGAGGGTTAGGGTCGGTATACGAGACCCAACTAGAGTGTTGGATAGAGGCCTGGAGCCCATTTCCAATCTGCCACCAAAGTCCTCATTGGAGGAGGAGGCGGTCATGGAGAATACTCTGACATCCCCACGAAGGGCGAGAACGCGCAGTCGCTGTTAGGAAAGTACCATTTGGAAAGTATTTGCCTTTATATATCTTGGCCAAGAGGGAATCAGGTTCATTAAGAATACGCCATCCAATCTTAGCCAATAGAGCTTGATTAAAATGCTCAAACCGCCGAAATCCCACCCCCATCATGTTTGCTTGTGCACAAATTTCGCCATGAGATCGACCTAATACGAGGGCGACCCCCTTCCACCCCCACCAGAATCTAGCTACGTGTTTATCCAGAATGCGGCAAAGTGAAGAGGGAGTTTAAAGCAGGACGTAACATGGAGCGGCAAAGAGAACGCGATTGATTTAATCATTGTCTCTTTAGCCGCCCATGAAAGCACCTTCTGCTTCCAACCCTGCAGTCGTTCCAACAACTTCTCCTCTAAATAACGAAAAGTAGCCATCTTGGACTGAGCAATCAAGGTGGGTAAGCCCAAGTATTTATCATGTACTTCGACTGCTCCAACACCAAGCCGGAGGGCAAGGGTTTCTTGATCCACTGGCAATATATTCTTACTAAAGCACACTGCGGATTTAGCCAAGTTGACCCTTTGCCCACTAAGCTCCTCGTATTCATTTAAGACCTCCAGTAGGTTATCACATTCTTCCATCGATCCTCTAAGGAATAAATATGAGTCGTCTGCAAAGAAAAGATGCAAAACACGCGGGGCTCTGGGACTAACCCGGACGCCTGCTAGCTTTCGTTCCTCGATGGCTTTGTGTATAAACGCCGCAAAACCCTCTGTACATATGACAAAGAGGAGGGGAGACAAAGGATCGCCTTGTCGAAGTCCCTGAGTCGACGTAAAATAACCAACTTTGTGTACCATTCATAAGCATAGAAAACGAGGAGGACCGCAAACACTTCTCAATCCATTGTACCGAAATTAGAATTAATCCCATTTTTCTTAAAACCTCAAGTAGAAACGGCCATTCGAATCTATGATAGGCTTCTCCATATCAACCTTCAGAGCCATATATCCATTTTTTACCCTTAGTCTTAATCTTGAGGTAATGCATCAATTCATGACCAATGAGAACATTATCCACTATTTGCCGTTCACGAATAAACGCGTTCTGCCCTGACGAGATTATCGTGGAGAGAAACCCAGCCAATCATTCCAACATAATTTTGGTAATGATTTTGTACACGAATTGACATAAGCTTATAGGTCTCAACTGGCGCATATTCTCCACATTATCCACTTTAGAAATTAGCGTTAACCAAGTGTGATTAAAGCTCCGTAACATCCATCCTGTCCAAAAAAGGAGCAGACAGCTTCCACCATTGACTCACCAACGATATTCTAAAATGTGCGAAAGAATTTACCAGTGAACCCATCTGATCCCAGAGCCTGGGTGGATCCAATCGAAAAAGCTGTTTGACGTACTTCCGATGCCATAACCTTAGCAGCCAAAGCCGCATTCATCTCCTCGGTTACCGTTCGAGCAATAGGAAGATCCGCCACTCGGGCCTCCATATTCCCCACATGGTTCTCAGAGGTAAAGAGAATCTTGAAAAAATCAACAGAAATGTCGGCCTTCCCTTTCTCATATGTGATCCATTCATCCTCCCCATTTCTCAGCCCTGCCACAAAATTCCTTTTCCTCCTTGCCTTTGTGATAGTGTGGAAATATAACGTATTTCTATCACCTTTTTTAAGCCATCGGACTCGAGATTTCTGTTGGCAATAGATCTCCTCAGCCTCCCACTGGCGGCTAAGCTCCATTTCAAGGTCCCGAACCCTTTCCCAATCAATAGGGTGCACATATTTTATCTGCTCAATCTCCGACTGAAGAGTGTTGATATTCCGCAGGGAGTTAGTCGTGCCAGCCCTACTCCAATCATATAGAAGACGACGGAGGCGTTTTAATCAAGCCCATAGTCTATACATGGGGGATCCATGAACCGTCTCATTCCACACAAACATCACCATTGCACGGACTTCGGGATTCTCTGCCCAGCGAGCATCAAACCGGAAGAGCGGTCGGCTCTGTCGCTTGAAGGGATTATCCGATAAGATAAGAGCTCTATGGTCAGAACCTTGATCCGTGTGATGCTTCACCAGGGACTCAGAAAACTGGTCCATCCAGGACTGAGAGCATAGAGCCCTATCAAGTCTTTCCCTAACACAGACCTGCCCATCCGCTTATTAGTACAAGTGAATTGATCCCCCGGGTGTCCCACATCATGTAGTCCTAGGTCATTCACAAAGTTCCTAAGTGCAATGGAACGGGCTGGGTTCCAAGGGTTCCCACCATCTTTCTCATTTCTGGATAGGATGGAATTGAAATCACCTATCACCACATAGGGTAATTGGATTTCTTCGCAGAGAGTTTGTAAGGCAAGCAATTGTTCCGCCCGGACCGTATCATTGCAACTAATATACACAAACACAACCACATACTAAATATCATTATCATTAATGCGAACAGAGATATGACAACTAGAATGACTCAACACCAGAGCATCAACTCTGGGGGAACAACCTACAACAAGACCACCAGATGCATCAACCACGTCAACAAAAAAATAACTGAAAACATCAAAACGCAATCCACGCATTCTACGAGACACGATCCTACGCCTCAATACTAGGAAGAGAAACCACGGTAGCCCAAGTGCTAGGAAGAGAACATTCTTCTAAACCACTCAAACCCACCAAATCACAATACTTTAGCCTTGGGATGAAGAACATCAAAAGGAACAACTGAATATAGGTGAAAGAATTCTCTTTGTTTAACTCCGGTTTTATACGAACTTTCTTTACCCTCAATTCAGGGCATTTCGGAAATACGACAGAAGTCATTGTGCTATTTACATGTGGAAATCACTCTAGATGTTTGATTAGAAGCTATTTTGGATTTATGATATTTATTAGATAATGTTGTGCCAATTTTGAAAAAATTGACTTGCGCCATGGTCATTTGATGATTAAAAGGTATGCCAAATCTCCAGTTGTATCCCTCTCGTTTTTTCTTTTTCTGCATGTGCCAAGAGTGAATTTTAATTTGAAAACTTGGGACACAATTTTAGTGCATGTTGTTTAGTGAACAAAACAAAAACGTACACATGAGTGCATAGGTTGGCCATCCAATATCTTTGTTAAAGTTTTATGAATAATAGAAGAAGATTGGACCAAATGTTGAAGCAAAAACCGAAATAACCAAACACTAAAGACTAACAAACGTACATAAGAGCAATTTAGATTCTTCGCATAGAACAAATATCTCTCTAAACTTTCTTCACTAGCTAGATTCCCTTATTAATATTATTCTACTTAAAAAAAATGTAGATGAGAGTACACATCTAAGATTTGGTCAATACAATATTGCTAATGAACATATCACTTTTCAATACAAGCTTTGAAAAAGATGCACATTGGATTATCAAACCAAATCTTCGAATAATGTCCAAAAACACCATCTCCAAACCTGAGTTGGCAGGTGACATAGCAGTTCCTAGTAATGGTATCATAATTTCCACTACTTGTATTGAATATTTGCGAAATTGTAAAGCTCTGCTTGACAATCCCTCGCTACCACTCTGTTTCCTATTTCATTACAAACATACAGAAAGAAAGAAAAACACTTCAGTTAAGTAAGACAAAGTATTGATTACAGTTCTACACTAGAAACAGAAATCGATATGAGAACAAAGACAATTTTGGCCACCCTTGTATGTATGAGCCAAAATTTTGACGTTTGTGGCCATTATAGCTCATTATGTTTATTATATTAAATTTATCCAAATTTAAAATGTTTGTTGGACAACTAGATCCATTGCATTAGAAATTTTAACGAAATTAATAGTAAGTTGATGTGGTCGCACATATGGGCTACACTTAAGCCACAAATCAGCCACGTAAAAAACTATTTATCGATAAAATTATTTTTTCATTGAATATTAATTAATTACTTAGATATTATCAATTAAAATATCAAATTAGAAAAACTTAATTTGTAAGTTTATAATTTTGTACGTGGCTGATTCATGTTTGATGTGTACGTAGCTCATGTATGCTTATATGTCCTGGTCAGTTTATTGTTAACACAGTTAAAAATTGTAATAAAATGTCTATAATTGTTCAATAAGGATATTAAATTTAGCTAGATTATGGTTATAAACAATAAGGTTATAGATATAATATGTCCCTCTACTATGACGTTTTATCAAACATGCCCTTCTACTATTTTTTACATCAAACATATCCATGTACTATGAAAAAATTATCAAACATGCCCTTCTGTTAAAATTTTCATTGAAAAAATCGTGAATCATGGTTGAACCGAGATTTGGACGACCCGACATCGGCAAATGGGAGAGAAAATGTCAGTTTTATCTCCCGTTTTATTTCTCTGGGTCTCTTCAAAGTGAAATTATTTGAATTATTTGGCTATACAAAAGACAACAAAAATTAAAAGTGAAATTATTAGGGATATTTTAGACATTTGTGCCGCCCAAACCAAAGTTTGACCCTGGTTAACGGTTTTTGCATGAAAATTTAAACAAAAGGGCATGTTTGATCATTTTTACAAAGTACAGGGGCATGTTTGATGTAAAAAATAGTAGAAGGGCATGTTTGATAAAATATCATAGTAAAGGGGCATATTATACCTATAACCCTAAACAAAAGTGTCTATATCGATCTCAAGCGTCAAATTTTGACCATGTATATGTATTTTGAATTCCTTGAATCATAGCATTTTGAAATTAGAACTATGCTTTGCAATAACACTTATTATGACTCACAGATAGAACCAGAGTCGGCAAAGGCACCATTTTTTTAAAAGTGGGGTTGGGATCCATATTGCTACGGTTTATAAGAACACATATAATGCCTCACAGATGGATCAGTAGCTTTGCGAAATTTAAACGTGAATGTAAACGTGAATGTAGACAAAATATAGAAGATTATATAGGATATTTTCCAAAAATATTGCATTTTTTGAAAAAAGTATCCAAAATATAGCAGTCGCAAATTGAGTTTGATGGGCCAAAAAATTGTT